TTGCAGGGCTTTACTCAGCCGAGTTGTCCCACTGCTTTAACAATTGTTCACATGCAATCAGGTGAAGATGTGATCCACTGTTACAGAATAGCTAAAAGCAAATTTGGCTTAATCTCTTCCCCCTCCATACTGAAGCCCAAGAGAAGCACGCGGCCAGAGGGACTGTCAGAGACAAGATGCACTTGTCATTCAAATTGCAAGTTAATATTTGATGAAGTGGCAAAAATGATTATTCGGATTCTCCATTTCATCTATATGAAACCAAGGATGGAAAATAAGGCTGCATGAAATCTCTCGGAGAGCTGAAGAAACTGGATTTTTTCTCACCGTCACCACAACAACAAAGCACGTTTTGAGGTGTTGTATGCAGTGCTTGGTGTAGCATCCAGTCCTCGGGGGGGGGCTTCTGTGGATCATTTTCTTGCCAATTATATGCAGTTTATCATTTAGTATTTCATCTACAAGTTCTGCTCTAAACTGAGCTCCTACAACTTTTCTAAGAATTACTTACATATCAAAGTGATGATTCTGGCCTTCAGAATGTTGTACTATGGTGGTGGTTTTTTTTTTGTTGGTCCTTAAGAAACGTATTTTCTTGGCTCTAATATCTTCTCTTACATTTTAAGAATATTTTTTTGCATCAGACGATAATAACCTTCAAGAATTTTAAAATCGGTATAAGTCTGAAAACTATATAGTCACAGAAATGATTCCTCTGTTTTATAGCTTGGAGGACAATAATAACAAAACCCATAAATGCAAGACTCTTTTTTTAAAGCTTGCTATTTGTGATCTTTGATTAGAAATTACTGCTCTATTTTCAATTAATGCTGTATAAAATATCATGTAACTTTCCATGCAAGCAAGAAGAGAGAAAGCTTTAAAAGCTGGACATACGTGGTGAATTAGTATTTATTGTCACATACTGAAATACATTTCTTTCAGACACCCTCTTTGGCCAATGTTTTTATCTGCAGATGTCAAAAAGGTAATGTGGAAGTCAGATTCTTCTAGTTATTATCTTTAATTACCAAGGGCCTGCTATGGGAGTTGGCACGAATTTTGATACAAGCTCAAGTAACGTAGGATCAGTTATTCTTCTTGTATGAAGAGAGACAAATATTCAGCCGACGTAGATGTGTAACTCCCTGGAAGCCAACAGAGTCGCGGTGCTTTAAAAGCAAGGATGTGGTTCACTGTGGGGCAGTCAGCTGCTTCCCCCACCTCAAGGTCTACGTCTTTGCAGTGAATTGCACTGCAGGCTGTCAGCTGGTACGGAAGAAGTAAGGGCAGAAGGAGAAAAGAATGCAAGTTCTCTGTTTTCGCCAGGAACCCACTGCATGGAGTAATTTGCTGCAATGATTTGATGTATTTCTCCCAAACATCGCAGATAGGGTACAAGTTTTTTTCAGGCTTTGGGGCAGAGTAATGTTCTCTGCTTACTCAGTGGTCTCAAACAGCCAGGCCTCATGCAGATCCATTCAACGCAGTTAATTTAAACTTGTGGTAATTTCCTTTCTGCATCACTTTTCGTAATAGGCAGGTGTAGCATTGGCAAACATTTTAACAAGTGTACTTATAAGGAAAGTTTGGCTTTAGTTTTAAGGGTTATTTATAACCTCATTTTTCAGTAAAAGGGTAAATCTTGATGAGCAGACATTAATGATCTCTGGTTAAGATCACACAGTTTCTAAATGGACTCAAATACCTAAAGCATTTGTTATTAAATTATTATTTATTATTATTACTATTACCAACAATAAATTCAGAGTTTGTTTCTGATTCTCTGGTATTTGTTACCACTGTCTCTGGTTAGCTGTATATTATTTTAAACCCTAATGCTCCCCTGGAGATTTCCTTTTTTTCCTTGGATGAACACGGGACTCCCTAATGTGGGATCTGAGCTGGTGCCGAGGCGGTGCTCCGCATTTCGCGCTCTGCTGTCAGAGGAAGAAGAGTGCTGCACTCCATGGGAACGGCGAGGAAGCAGCAGGTCTCTCCTGCTTCTACGTGCTGCCTTGGATCCACTGGAGCTTCTTCCTTCCTCTGGGTCCAACACTGCCAAGAACTGGGACTAGAAAATAGACTGCAAATCCCAAAGTAGCAGGATTTGATCTAAAATGAAGTAACATATTTGGCCTCTATCATGACTTTTCTTACCGCAATATTTCTAACTTCCTAGGTTGCATAACTACTTTGAAGAGCAAAAGGCATCCGTGTTGGTCATCAAAGTATCTTAAACCTTGGAAACCGCTTATAATTTGTTCTGACTTGCTCGAGATACCTACAGAAGGCAAGCATCTATTAGAAAAGTCAGAATTTACGTTCTAAAATTTACACAAATGACCTTCCATTTTTACTGATACTTATTTTTAGATGATTTCAAACTACTTTAGAAATTGATAGGTGGTGCTGTCCTATATCTTATATAAAGACTAAGAGACAAAGACAACAGGTTACTAACGATCGCTATTTATTTTGTTAAGTCAATAAAAAGTGCATAGTACAAGCCCTTTATCCCAATCCAAGTACTCAGAAAAAGATTACTAGGAAACTGAAAATGGCACAGATGATTTTTTGTGTGGCATGATTCAGACATTTTAAGCCACCAATTTACATTAGGCACATCACATCATCACTCTTCCTTTTTCAATCATGAACATTACAAGGCTAAGTGATCTGCAGACAATACATGAATACATACGATTTCTCATTTCAGAGTATAATAATTGTGTTAAGCAGACTCTAAAAATACTATCATTTTAACAAAGTTCTAAGCTAAGGTATAATCGTTAACTTCTCTCCATATTTCCCAAGTCACTACAACTTGCATCTCTTACTAACCAAGCTTAAAACCCTCATTACAGAATGAATCATGTCCTGAAGCTTCACATAACCACTAACCTCTTCCACACTTCTCAAAATTTACCATAAACATCTGTCACCATGGTACAATTATTTCATCGCAAACTACGTCACTAAAGGCCAGATTTCTGCCACCCTTACTAAAGCTGCTACTAGTACGTTATCTCAGAGTAGTCCCACAAACTTCGGTGCAACTACTTGATGAGTAAGGCACTATTTAACACAAATAAGAGTGGCAAAATACAGTCCTACAATTAGTTACTTTGATTTCAATTAAGAGTGGTGATCTGAAGGTTCTATGTTGGAGAGATTATCTGAATTTAAAAGGCATACATTTTGACCTGGGATAGTGGCCTGGCTCTTTAGTAAAACATTTTACAATAAAATATTTCCATTTTTTTTTCTTTTACATAGAAAATTTAAAATAGCAATTTACATGAGGAAAGCATACGTGTACAAAATCACTGGGACAATTACTTAGAAGAATTTCAAGCAAAGACAGTTCATTGAAATGTAAAATACAACATTACTCTGAACAAAATGTTCATTTGCCAAGACTGTTAGAGCTGGGTGCACATGGTGAATTTTATAAATAAGGCAGACAGACAGTGAAGCAAAGCAAGACGGATCCTCACAAGTGAGGAGCACCTGCTGTAAATCTCACCAGCTTCCAACGGGGTGAGGAGTGGCACTCTGTCTGAAATGAAGCCTGTTTCAGTCGGCTTTTTAATCAACTGGAAGCCTGTTTTATGGATCTGATAGTGAAGAATTCTGGCCAAAAATTCTTGGAGAAAAGGTCACTGTAGGGGGTTATATGTATTTTCTCGTCGGTTCAACCAAATTATGCTATATTACTTGTTCTATTCAAAACAGTATCCCAAACATCAATGTGCCCAAAAGGCAAAAAGCAAGCACAGTCGGCTTGCTTGTTCCAGTGACACCTTCACACAGTGTTTGTGGCCTGGACACCTTCAGACATAGCAGGACAAGTTCTCTCAGCTCCTCTGCTGCAGCTCCACTGCTTTACACGGCCCTGCGCTGATGTCTCTGACAGCACTTGGCCCAATCTTCATTTTAAATTTTTTTTTTTATTTTTTACACATGCTCCTATTCTTGGGAGCACACTATTCCACAGAAACTCAATAGGCAATTACATCAGATTACAGAAGCCTTTCTTCAGGTCTACGCTGTACCTTTACAAGGCGGCCCGCCATTTACCCTGAGGAGGAAAATCCTGCGTCTGTCAACCATGGGATCTGATGTGAGATTTTTGTTAGAGCCCGTTCATACAAACTTTTATGCATCTTAACAGTTCCTTCAGCTCTGTAACTAAAGTCCTCATGAAATCAAGGTTTCTACAGTAAGGCTTTGAATTCCCATGTCTGTTCCACTGACCTTTACAGAAAGAAACTTCATGCTGGTAACATACAAATGTTCTTTACATTATTCTCATCAATTCTTCAAATTGATCAAGAAAAATATACAGTGTTGCTTTTCTGTACATTTTTAAAATGTTCTTAATGTACATAAAAAAGTTATTTCCCATTTGCTACAACAGGAGATGTGCACAGGTAGGTGCACAGCCACACACACGCACACATAAACACAACAAACATACAACTGTTAGAGGAAAAAGACATGCCATACGTAGTCACCTGCAAGTTGGTTATTCTACAGTTACAACCAGTAGATGAGAATGAAATGCTAAGAATTGGTGATAACATACAGGTGAAAACACCCGAATATCCAATATACCAAAAGATGATTACCTCGGTAACCTCTTGGTATGATTTCATCCTGTCCAATATACATTACATCATGGCTAAAAATTTGTTAAGATACCGATTATTAAAAGATTATACCAGGACAGAAAATTTTACCAAGTTGTTCTCACTAAATTTCTCTTTTCATAAAGTCTATAAGTAAATAAATCTAGTTTTGGAATACATTTTTCTGACAACATATTGAATAAGATATATTATTTATTAAAGAACAAGATTAAATTAATTCTTTTTGGTGGTATAATTTTTTGTCTAAAGTTCCCAATACATATGTCAAAGCTTTCACAGAGGCAATTATCCCATTCACTTCTTCGCGCACGCGCACACACACAGAGAGTATAATTCTAGTGGACAATCCGTGCTTTTGCCAACAACCCTGAAAACTATGTTAGTGTCCAAAGACCAGACTAAAAACTGCTCTGAACCCAGGGCAATTATAAAAAATTTTCAATTTTTTACCACATAGCTAAGCTAATAGTTGCATAATATAATTCTCAAAAGCATACCGGAGAAAAAAATAGGGATTAATCTGAAGAAATATGGATTAATCTGAAGAAATTCCATTATTATAGATGCACAGGGATTTTCTTTTTCTTTCAATGCATATCAGAAATCACTGCAAAGAATTTAAGATCATTGTAACAGAAAGAGACAGAGTGGAATGTCCACAGTAACGGTAACAACCAAAAAACCCCTGCAATGCCTTTTTATTCAAATTACAATCTACTAGGAATTGTAATAACATACAAAGCAAAAATTAACTTAAAATTGAAGTTGCTAAAAGCAGTTAATGAAGATAACTGCTGAATGGTAATTCTGCTCTATAGAAATGAGAAAAGAAAACAGTATTGAATGGAGTTTAGGAGTAATCTGGTCACTTCGTTCATTTGGTCGTGCAAGGTTTCAGCTGCTGAACTTTTCCAATACTGAACGCTCTAGTCCACTGGTGGGGCTGGTGGTTCTTGTCCCTAAGCAGGAAGGAAGGAGGAAAAGAAAAAAACCCCACATACCAGATTAGAAACAGTGCTTCAAGTCAGAGGATTTAGCAATAAAAGAAGAACAAAAGAATAAAAGAAGAGTTACATTGTGCTTTCTTTTAAGATCTTTCAGTAGCTCTTTCAATATTCAGTGTAAACGAGCATCAAAGAACAACAGCGTTTCCTGCATGGACAGGGATTTTTCCATGATCCCACATCTAGGACAAAGATTGCCTTCCTAGTTTCATGCTGTATTTTTGTCTAAAAGCTATGATTTCCCCCTTGTACAGAAGAAGGCAGGAGGCAGTTCCAACCAGGGACAGCCGGCGTCCAGAGGATGTTATAACCCACACTCAGTCACCCGTGCCTGCTCCATCCCATGGCAGGTCTTGCAGTTGGCGTTTATGATTGTACTTTCACTTGGGTTTTACTCATTTTCATTGTTAAGGGAGTTCCAAGAAAATACAGGAGAAAAAAATGTAAGGAAAAAATGACTGTAAGACAGTCTGTATTAAAACCAAATACATTTAAGGTATTGTAGAGTCTCTCTGCAGGGCGCTTTCAGACGCACTTACGTTATGTGGGCTGGTTGGCTTTCCGGCCGTGCTGGATCCTCTCAGATTACTCGGTCTCAGTAAGAACAAGACAAGTGCAATCACCACCCAGGCCATCATTATCATGGCAAAGCTGATGCCATTGTCACTGGAGGAGTTTGGTCCTGGCACTACAGACAAGGAAAACTCAAGTTATAACACAGAGTGACAGCAGAGTTCTTTACCCAAAATGAAATGAAAAATGCAGAATAAGTCTCAGAAAAACAAAAAGAAGTATTTTTCAGTTGAGTTTTCTGATTAGTCCTTCCTTTTGACTTTGACACAAGTAATTCTTGGTTAGTGTTACGCTACATTTTAATTATCTTTCTTATCCCTTTAAAAAGAGAATCTATTTCATAAGATTTCACTGGAATTCTCAGAATTATCATGAATATTTCTTAGTTCACATTAACTCCTAATGAACTGAAGATTATAAACACACACTCTCTGCTTAAGAAATCAAACTTGATTTTTTAAGAAATTAAACTTGATGCAAAATATATTTATGTGCGAAAACTCCCCATCTGTACATTGGTGTTTGGTTTTTTGCCTCAAACAAATAAAAGAATAAGACTAGAGATGAAAGCTTGGACTCCGTTGCTAGGCCCCACACAGAGAACATGCTAATTCTAGTAAGAAGGGAGCAAACTAATGGTTATAATTTTGCTGGCTACTGTACGTTATTTATTAAGAGCTTGTTCGAATAAGGGTCAGTGTCAATATGACTGATCATCCAGCTCCTGTGGTATTTCCGATAGCATCAAGGAAAATGTATCTGTCAGGAGGGGAAAAAATGCTGAGGAGATACATGAAAAAGTGAATCCCAGGAATACAATATAAAAATTTTACACCTAATTTCCATACAGTATGGCTGAGACATCAAAGCATGGAAAGAAAACTGAGAAAATGCCCTCAGACTGGAGATGGCTGGTTCGTCTTTTGGGATCAAGAAACTCTTGCAAATACTTGCACATTGGAAGACAACAACCTTTCTCCTCTGAAACATAATTTCAGATAATCAAATTGTAACTAATGTTGTCAGCTGAAGTGTAAGGAGCTGAAGTGTAAACCAATGCATAGTTAATTAACTATGGTATTTACATGGCTCCACTTACAGTAGTATCTAAAGACTTAACATCTTCATTAACGACCTAGATGATCAAATAATACAGAGCAATCAATAAAAAGCTATAATTTAATAACCCTCTCAGAAAGAGAAGAGCTATTCTGTTTTATTACTCAAGTTGAAAATTTTAACATCCCAGGAAATTCCACGGAGACACTCATATCCATCAGATTTTTCAGTTAACTCGTTTGGATCATCTCATTATTCAGCCAAGTCTGGATACAGTATCAGTTGGGAGTTGTTCTTATTTAACATTCGCTAGATACCCGGTGAACTGCTGGAGCCAGTTATTTCCTTGAAGGTTCGTGCTGAGACCAAAGAACCACCCTCATCGCTGACACACTGGGTAGCATTTTTAGCAGAGGCTCTTCTGTGAAAGTGGTGTCTTCGTAGCACAGCTAAGGCACAGCGGAGGGGCACCGTGGGGAAGCTCACAGCTATGCCTCTCTCCACACTGCTGTTCTGTGAATAAGACTTTGTGCGTCGGGGCTGCTGGACTGATGTCCTTTACTGACATCGCAGGCACCCAAAAATGTCAAAGAAGAAAAAACCCCTGTATTGTAGCAGACCATGCTTCTCAAAGCACAAACACCACCATTAACGTGTATGAGCAAATGAAACTGCCATACAGCTCTTGCCTTTTAAATGCCCAAAATACACTTTTCAAAACTCGAGAAGTCACTAATACAGAGGAATTTTGTGAATAGAGGTACGTACAATTACAAGTGACAATTCTTTTGGAGATCTGAGTGAATAAAGGGCACTGTATATGGGGAGAAGGTATAGTGCAAAGAAAATAAATGAGAATGCTACAGCCTCTAATTCATTAAACACTAACATATAATCGATTCAGAAAGCACATGGAACTGTGCAGGTGAGAGTTTAGACCTGCAGTTGTGCTGAAGGAAAACGTTATTGTTGTCAACATGATATATCAGCATTTTAAATCTTGAATGACCTTTATATACGCAATCCAGCAAACTAGTATATAATTCAGCATGAAAAGAACAACTGCTTTATTCTGGGGCTTCCAGACAACATTAACAGCCACCCTGAGACTACCTTCAGCAGCACACAAGACAGCCTGAGGTACCTGCTTTGGCACGTGTGTTCAGTAGAACATTGAAAACTCAGATCTCCTGTTAGGCTGGATTCCTCACACAATGCAGAAAAACAGGGACTAGTCAGGCTGCCTCCTGCAATTTTTGCTGAACCGTAGCATGCTCAGGGTCTGTGGTTAAACAAGAGTCGGGGTATGTAAAGGCTGCTAGGTCAGCTCACGCTCCAGGTCAAGGAAGGGAGCAGAAGGAACCACAGAGGGAAACCACAGGCATTTGTGCAAGACACAATTTCTACCCAGCCTGCGCAGTAAAATGGTTTGGATGGAACCAAATGTGCTGAAACATGTTCTCAGCTAAGTCAGGCAAGACAACAGCTTGGCCCTGTATTACCTACTCAAAGCATGCCAGATACCAAACCAGCCACAACACTGTTTACACTATTCAAGTACCATTAAACCCACATCTCTCACAAATGGCCATGTGTTTTAATAAGGACGTGAGATATTTCAGAATCTGTTGCTTTACTCTCTTAACATAAGGAGATGAGGATAAGCAAAATCTCACATAGCTGGGGTGAATCACACTTTTCAAAGCTTTGCATCACGAATCAAGAGAACAGAAAAGAAGCTGTCTCAGCTACTGGGAGCAATAATATGTAGAAGACGACAATCTTTTGCGACAAAGACCTCCATCACTGAGATCACAAAATAATCTGGTAAGACCAGCCTATAGATAAAGAACAGTTGAGTGAAGGTGAAACAGATCAGAATGGAATTTATGCTGATGGACAGAAGAAAAAAACCCTGTATTTTTAAGAGTTCACAGCCACAGTGCTTTACCTATAATTGATATTTTTGCAGGTAATTTAGAAGCGTTTTTTTGATTCCTTGGAGAATAAAGGCTCTCCTATAAGAGCACCTGTGGATGATATTTTTAATATTTCCAGATGGCTAGAAGATTGTTCTATTCTGACCTCACAGATGAATGTCCCTGCCACCATCCATTTTGATGGACGGATCTGGTTACTAATCTCCAGTGTCTGGGAGACACCAACTAGCACAGAATGTAGCAGCACTTATTCCCCTGTCACTGAGTGACATGAAATTTACAGCTGCTAACCTGCCTTTCCACACAACACCGAATCCAGCCCCAGGTCTTTATTTTCAGAGTATCTGCTCCCCTGGGCTCAGCATACCTATATATCCACATACTTCTGAATGAAGCCTGTGAGCAGTTCTGCCCCTCTGGTTACCTGGAATTTTTTTTACATCTTGGCTGAATTATCTCCGTGCAGGAAAAAGCTTTATGAGGGGGCTGGTCTGAGACTGTGGGATAAACTCCCATGGGAAGCGAGTGACTATGGTGAATCCTGTCTGTTGCTCCACATACAAGATACAGTTCTTTGGCTTGCTTTTTCCTACAGAAACAGAGTCTAAGACACATAAACTAGGCTCCTCTTGGAGAGAAATGGGAAGAGAAAAAAATAATCTTCCGTGACAGATGTTTGCCACCTCCTTTAATGTTCTACCAGAAGGTAGTCAAAGCTATTAAAATGATGAGTTTGGTAAAAATAATTTCTAAAGATTAAAGGTCAACCACCTCCTGGTTGTGCAACTGAAATCTCAATAATACAATATTAAAATTAATAAATGCCCTTGTTAAACTCCTTACATGAACTTAGTTCTCCTCTTAAAGTGCTGTTTTTCATTCGGAGTGAGGTTGTACTCTAAAGAAAAAGAGGAAAGGTTGCATTTCTTTTACTGTAAAAGTATATTCCATGTGGTGCTTTTTGTCTGCCCTCTCATGGTAGAAATATCTCTTTTTGGATCTTCAGTTTTTACTGTTTAACATCTGCATGTGGGAAGGCAAAAGCATGCTCTCTGACTTGTGCCGCCTTCTTTTTACGGTGTTCTTAGCCTTGCCTATTCTGTGAAAGAAAGGCAGGAAACTCTATGAAGAGAGGTATCTTACAGATGAATCATAAGGGAAGACAAAGAGTCCGTGGGACCTTCAGCAGATAACACCTGCAAGCTGACACTCTCAAAGGCAGGTACAAAGAAACTGAGGAAAGCCAGAAATTACTTGAGTGCAGAGAGGGAGGGAGGGAGGGAGAAGGGAATTACCAGAAAAGGGAGGGAAGAGTTGGCAGACATTTCATGCCTTTAGATTAGGCTGCTGTGATTCCCCTAGACAAGTACAACTCAAGATGAATCACTGATACGCATTCATTTTAAAACACATAAAAATTTGGAAGCAGACAACATTTGAGACAGTCATGTCTGACCCTATCACAAGTTAGTAGAGCACTGAGAATAGTGTTGAAAATATGAATGTGGTAAATCCAGGTCACAACATCTGGGAATTGCTAGAACACAAGAGGAAAAAACTCAGGCAGTGGCCCCTCATTTCCTCTGACATGGAAGGCTGACTGTGAAGGGCCATGAGCCATCAGAGCGGCTCACCACCAGCTGGGGATCCTCCCTGGGCTGGATGAACCACTGATGTTGCAACTGCAACACGCTTCAGAGAAATCTTCCCTGCTCCATTTGCATTAGACAGAATTCAGAAAAGAATTACTGCTCTTTCCTCATTTCAAGGGAAACTGTAAGTTATTCTGATTTGCTGAGCATAAAGAATCCCAACAGAATATTAAATGTGTTGCATATTCAAAACTCGCAGCCTTTTTTCTCCAAGGTACCCACTGAAATGGAGGGAACAGTCATCACACTCTTGTACGTGGTTTACTGTCACAGCAGATATTCTGATGGAGAATCAGCAGAGGAACATCCGCCAAGCAGAGCGCCCAAATGCTCTCTATACAGGAGTACAAACCCAAAAGCACTGGTCCTGACCCTGGCAGGAAACTCTCTGCAGGGTAGTCACTACAATATAATGGTGCCAACAACCATAAATAAGAATTTAGAGCTAATAACACAAAAATGCAAATGAGGGAGCCCTGGTGCTACAGCTTTCATCTGCCTCCAAAAATCTAAAAAATATCTGAAATCAAGGGTTGAAAAAACAAAGCGTGCTCAGGAAGAATCAATGCAGGGTGTTTCTGAGAACTTCCAGCTGGTAGCAACAGCATAACACATGACGCTGCTGTGACACTGGCTGAACCACAGCCCTGACGTTTCCCAAAACAAAACCACATACATCTTCATCAGTTCTTCCACAACCTTGCAACTTAAGAATCTGTGCATGACAACATTCCCAGCTGCACTTCCAGAAGGAAGACCAAATCCTGGGAATGAGCAAACGGGTGGGAGTGAAACAAGCTTCTTATCGAGGTCCCGAAATGAGGGATCAATGCAAGTAACAGGAAATGGAGCTGCGGGACCTAGGGAAGAGGAGACCCACCTCAAAAATAAGCTCATCACAGTATAGCTCATCAGAATAGGATGAAGCAATGGACAGAAGACTGGCCCAGAATTGTTATAATCTGTCTCTGAAAACACCTCTGGAAGCTTCTCCAGGCTCCATCTGTTTGTTTTTGCCTTTGACTCCTGAGAGTCTTACAGAGCTCACGTTGGCCCAAGCACAGAATCACAGAAGCATCACAAAATAGTCTGACAAATAGGCAGTCGGTGTCATTACATCAGCAGAAAATTACCTTTGCTGGAACTAAATTTAAGGCTATATAATAACTTGGAGAGGATTTACTCTATAATTTTTGCTTTGGTTTTTGAAACAAACCACTGGTTTGGAACAATTGCTGCCAAATTGCTTGCATTGGCACAGACAGTTATTGCAAGGATCTCTTTCGGGATGGAGAGCTATTTGCCACAAACCATCCACATCCCCACTGTACTATAGCTTGGTAGCATGAAAGCTTTGTGCCCACACATAACAGAACTTACTCATTTATACAGTCTTTAGCCTAAGAGCTTAATAAATATTGATGAGCCAACACTCCCAAGGCTTGAGTGAGAATGACCTACCATTGCTTGGTTTTGACTGTGGACTAAAGCTCAGAAAGCTGTACAGCCTGTCTGTGCCTACTTCTAACACAGAAAATACTCTATCTCTTGTCACCTTCCTCTCTCCCTCTCCTACATGCCTGTGATTTAAAAAAAGCCCACACATAGAAGTCTAAGGTGTGGGTGATGAAAAAGTCTGCCCTAGGACAGGTGCATTTGGGAGAGGAGGGGTGCTGGAAGTCACAGACACAGAGCATAACTTGGAAAGCCCGTAAAGAAAGAGTAAAGCCAGCAGCACTGTTCTGGCACATGTGTACCCCACTTTTTGTCCAGGGGTTATCTGGGAAAGCTCATAGCTTTTCCCCTTCAGCCCAACATGGCAATGAATCTGTGACTGTTTCACATTGCAAGGGCACAGTGCAAGTCCAAACTGGATGCCTGTCTCTAAACAGGTTTTACTGGGGGAGGAACAGGAGAGTGAACAAAGGCACGCTCTCTCCCCGAGACCCTGGAAACCTTGACCTCACTGCTCCTAGACCTGTAGAAGATACAAGCACCAGCAGCTCTTGCTTCCAGGAACACTGCTCAGGTGCCCCCTGCTCCCTCCAAGCATTATAGTAGTCCTGATGCAGGCTAAGGAGTGAGTTCATACACTCAGTTGGTAAAGCAATATAGGAAAAACAGATGCACTTCATTTTTATTTATAAGCATTTGACAATGTTCCCTCTAGACCACGAAAACAGAGCACCTCAGGGCAAGCTTACATTGCTGCATAACCTCTGCACAGCTATGCTTCCCGGCAGATGCTGGTAACATTTGACTGTCCTAGTTATGTTCACCGTTTGGAATTGTTTTTTGGACGTATTTCACAGCAAAGTTCAAGGAAGTGTATGCATCAGTACTCTGCTTCATTACCTACACAGCTGCTGAGTCAAACAGAAGTGCAGTCACAGTGTATGTCAACTTATCAGTCAGAGCTGGTGGGGAATCTCCTCTCCCTCACAGTGGAGTAGAGGGTTCACAGTACTGACAGTACGTCACTCAGCTCCAGAAGTGAACATGTGCACGTGTCAGGGTCTGCGCTGAATATCCAGTCTTCACTGGTTAGGCTGCTATGACTGTAGGGAAGACAAAAAAAGCCCCCCCTCCAATTTTCTTCTTAGGGAAAAATTGAAATCACCCTATTTGCAAGCTAATAGTAAGATTCAGTAATGCTTGGGGCCCGATCAACGGTCATGCTGGTATACCGATACCTCCAGCCTGCTCACCGTTGCTGCTTCCATACAATGCTTCCAATGTACAAATGTTAATCTGCATCACAGACACCCAGAAATACCCCCCACATAATAATTCCAGTACTGGAGTATTTGATTTTATGTGATATGTTCCTTTAACGTTAAATCAACTGCTGCATTTTAAAGACCAGCCGGAATGTATCTTAATTACTACTCTTTATTTGCCTTCCATGCACCTGATCTCAATAGTTACTCACATTCCTGAAGGCATTCTGTGTCTGTGCAGTACGACTGGGATTGTCTCAGCTGAAACAGAGAAAAAGAAAGGCATGACACTTAGCAATGAGACTCGGTCAGCTTTTACCGAAATCATGATTTAGTGTAACGTCAGAGCACAAGTTCAAGATAAGGAAGATTATAACCAATCCCTTACTGCATCGCACTTGGCTTCTGGTGTGTGAAGAATCCCAGGTATGGAGGTAGTTTCTGAACACTATTTACATAATACCTTCAAATCATCTGACTAAAGTGCTATTCCTTCCACTTCGGTTGCAGCCACTGAAGGCCTTTCAAAATTCAAGTTAAAAATCTATAGTGATACAGCCATTGTTAGATACAGATATACTCTCTACACACATTATGGGATTTATAATGGATAGATGTTACTACTGTTATCTACATCGAGTAACATTAATATACTTTGTGATTACATAACAATAAATGATCAGACTGTGATAACGGTTATGCACAGAGAAGCCGAATTAAAATATCATTTTTAAACTTACCAATTACTATTTTTTCCACCTAAGACCTTTTTTTTAAGAGCAGATTTTACTATGTATTTTTCTGTTTTTTCTCTTTAGTGATGGGTAAGATTTAAAGTGCTTTTAGCAACTGTAATGACTACTTGCATTTACAGACTAGGTAAGCTTCCTAACTGTAAGAAAAGTCAACAGTGGATAACCTGCAAATCAGTGTAACTATTTTACAGACGACAGAGTCAAAAAAGACAGACAAATATCACATTCTTTGTCAGGCACAGAGAGGTTAAATGGATGGGATTTAGCTGCTGTATTATGGAAACAGGTCCTTCCCCTGCTTTGGTAAACTACACCGATTTAGAGTAAAAGTTGTAAAAAGTACAGAATTGTTACAATGACTTGGTTAGAGTTGTCATTTTCTTTTTGACAGGTTTTATGTCACCATAGTGTCACAAATCCCAACACTTCTTGTCACAACAGGCTAATTTGTTTATTATCAGCGTAAATATACAAATGTAAAAGATAACAAAAGATGATGTTCCTTATAAAAGAAATAGGTTAATAATTTCTACAGACCCCATTTCCCCTTGTATTGGCATAACTGATTTACTATATTTAGTCATAATATTATGCAAGCACATCAAGGAAACAAATGAGCAACCGAAGGAAGAAGACATTTGGAAAAGTTCAAGCTCCTTCCTTTATCATAATGATTTTCAATAACTGATGCATTTGAGAAAGAAAAAAAAAATGTAACTGGAGATTGATTGCACTCATTCTTTCATTAATGTATTAAGATCTGCTAGCAAATTTATTGAGACTACAAAGACGTTCCTTAGGAAGTACTGGGAAGGCTGGATTTAATCTTTCAGCTATTTCTATAGTTTAAAACAACAGCAGGGGAAATTCAAACAAAAGACTTTTACTTACCTTATTAAAACAAACAAAAAAAATCTATCAAACCTTGCATATTTCCTGCCCTTCTTATATAAAAGTTCAAGCTCATTTTATTTTCAAACTTTGGAAGTCATTCTCAAAGGGGAGGTTTTATGTTAGCAATAGTACCATTTTGAAATATCTGACACAGAGACTCCTGAACAGGGAAAATGGATATTGCTATACCCACATTTTAAAGAGACCAGCAACATACTTATCTTCTGTTTGTATACGGGTTTAATTCTGGAGGGGGCTTAATTTATAATCCCTGCTCTGTAAAACACAGTTTGCAGTTATTCTTCAACACAGAATGATGCCCAGAATTGAAGTGGGTAATAGGTATTTGATCAGAAACACTGTACAGGTCAACAAGCATACAGCGTCTAGTTACCCCTCTGTCCGCAGGAGGGCTAGGACTCACAGAGCGTACCGAGTTTGCCCAGATGGGCAACACTGCCTTGGGGTGTTCTAGCCACAATATCAGTTTATCTCCCATTCTAAGTGTTATACTCTGTCCAAATGCAACTTTTTAAACCATGCAGTTAAAGTTTCTGTAAAAGCCATCCCCAAAAATGGTGCATATGCTTTCTGTAACTGTTAACATGCTGCTCCTTCACCTGCCTACCAGGCTGGCTTCCACTGCTACCACACACACACAAAAAAAAAAAGACGGAGCTCCAGCTTTGACTGACATAAATATGATAACCACCAGAGAAACTCGATTAAGAACAGAAAGATATTCTGGCTACTGCTATGCCTTTCT